ATGTACAGCAGGCAGATCTGAGGCAGGACTCTCATCCTCTCTCCCTCCCTCCCTCCCTCCCTCTTCCTTACCGTTATGTCCAGATCTGAATTACAGAAGATCTCCTGTCCCTGATAGCTTGTCAGAGGACAAGAGAAGGAGCAAGATAGGAGGAGCCCAGGACGAGGACGAGGACGAGGACAAGGACGAGGACAAGGACAAGGACAAGGACAAGGACAAGGAGAGTTTCCTGACCTCAAGACTGACAGCAGTCGGCATCCACAAGGGAACTACAAATTGCTTCCAACCATGGATGATACGCTGTAGGGCAAAGGGATCAGAGGAGAAGGGAGAAGAAAAGGAGGAAAATCAGAAAAGGAGGAGCAGAGGAGGGGCAGAGGAGGAGCAGAGGAGCAGAGGAGCAGAGGAGGAGGAGCAGAGGAGGAGAGGAGGAGGAGCAGAGGAGGAGAGGAGGAGGAGGAAGGTGTCCTACCTCAAAGATCTCCTTTCCTTCCATGATGCATGCTCTGTTGTCTGGGTTGTGCGCCATGACGAATAGGCCGCTGAGAACTTCACACACGGCGACCCCGAGGCTCTTGGAGTCTTCGCGCAAGAAGATCGCGTTGGAGAGAAGGTCGAGGACGGTCGAGATTTGCCAGTAGCTGCAGGCAGAGGAGGCGTTATGGCGAGGAAGTGCTGAGAAAGAAAGGAGGAGGGAGGAGGGAGGAGCAAGGAGGAAGGAGGAAGGAGGAAGGAGCAAGGAGGAAGGAGGAAGGAGGGAGGAGTGTGTGTGTGTGGAGATGAGCGGAAGGGACTGGGAAGCAGGACAAGACAGCAGGACAAGACAGCAGGACAAGACAGCAGGACAAGACAGCAGGACAAGACAGCAGGACAAGACAGCAGGACAAGACAGCAGGACAAGACAGCAGGACAAGACAGCAGGACAAGACAGCAGGACAAGACAGCAGGACAAGACAGCAGGACAAGACAGCAGGACAAGACAGCAGGACAAGACAGCAGGACAAGACAGCAGGACAAGACAGCAGGAGGTCTTGCCTGTAGGATGCTGCGGTTCCGAGAGAGAGCTTGTTGCAGGCGAGGAGGAGGGAGTGTGCGAGGCATGCCATGCCGGCATGAGTCGCAGCGTTGGAGTGTCGGAACTGTTCGACCTTGTCCTCTAGCGTGTTGACCTGCACGAGGGTCAAGGAAGCAGCAGCGGCGGCATCGCGCTACCAGAAGCTCCTCCTCGCAGATCTTGGCCTTGCTCCACACGAAGATCTTGATGAGGAGCCTGAGCGCTAGCTCCGAGGAGACCTTGTGCGCCTTCATGCCGGACTTGTCGCAAAGCATCTGATTGAGCGCATGAGCGAGGGAGGACGATGCTCCGATGGCCTCTCCCTTGCCATCCTCCAGCAGTTTCTGCGAAGAGAGGTTCGTCATGCCGCGGACAAGGAGGAAGAGGAAGAGGAAGGGAGGGACGAGAGAGGCAGGAAAACAAGGAAGAAACAGGAAGGGCACAAGGACGAGGACGAGACAAGGCAAGAAAGGAAGAGAGGAGAATGGTTTGGAAAGCAGCGATGACGTGGAAACAATGCGACGAGGAGGGAGAGGGGGTAGAGAGGAGAGAGGAGGTAGAGGAGGTAGGGGAGGTAGGGAAGGTACAGGAGGTACAGGAGGTACAGGAGGTACAGGAGGTACAGGAGGTACAGGAAGGAGAGGAGGGAGAGGAGGGAGAGGAGGAAGGAGGGAGAGGAGGGAGAGGAGGGAGAGGAGGGAGAAGCTACCAGGAGGATCTGAGATGCATTGTGTCGCTGAGGAGCAGAGGCTTCCAGCTCCATCGCGATGTTGCTGAGCACGAGCATGTCCTGCGCTCTTTCGTCTTCCACCGACCAGGGAGGCATGGTCAACAATCCTGCTGGTCACCTTCAGCTGACCGCTAGAGGAGGGAGAGGGAGTGGAGAGGTGGGAGGACAAGGAAGAAACGAGTGGGAGAGGATGGGGGAGGAGCAAGAGGATTGGTATGTATCCCCTCTCATCTCAACTCGATTGCCCTCCTGCTGTCTCATACACCTACACACCTGCTCTGCTCTCCTATCTTCTCTTACGTTTCTCAACTTTCCTCATCCTCCCTCTTTCAGATTGCAACCTCCCCTCCCTCCCTCCCTCCCTCCCTCCCTCCCTCTCTGTCTGTCAAGTTTTTCATGTTTGTCAAGCTTGTCAAGCTTGACAGCAACGGTTTGGTAAATGGCTCCTCCGAGGAAGAGCCCAGATGGCGCAAGCTAGAGGAGGGGGCAGAGGAGCGAGGGAGAAGAGGAGCAGGTCCGTTGAGCGTGAAGGAGGAGAGAGGAGGGGAGAGTTGAGGATGGTGCGGTACAAACACAGAGACGGGCAAGCGAACGGAGAAGCAGGGACGGAACAAGTCAAGGTGGTCGTAGAGCCATCGCGGGAGCTGAAGCTGGCTGAGGGTGAGAGGTGGGAGAGGATGGGGCTGGTGGGCTCGGGGGAGTACCTCCTCAAGTACCGCTGGAGCAGGTATGGCTGCAGCAGCCTCCTCAGGACGTGGGGGTTCGACGAGAAGTTCCCTGTGATCCTACAGGAGAGGATGAGCAGGGAGGAGTGGAAGGAGATCATCACCGCTCTCAACTGCGGCTTCGTCTATGGCATCCTCCCCAAGCTCGTCTGGCTGCCGGCCGTGATGCTCGGAGTGATCGGGGCGGTGACAGCAGGGAGAGAATGGGGGACGAGGAGCTAATGGACTTTCAGATCTTAGAAGGAGCTCTGAGGAAGAACGCGTCGATACCACCAGGTGAAGGAGACGACCTGCGGTTCCTCGAGCTCGGCTGCGGGAGGTGAATGAGCTTGCAGGAGCAATCTTTGGAGCTCTGACAGGGTTCGGGCTCGTGCTCTCCGTGATCTACTTGATGTATATGAGGATGATGGTAAGAAAGTCCCTTCCCCCTCCCTTCCCCCTCCCATCCCCCTCCTTTCCCCTTTCGCACGCTCAGCTCCAGCAGGTTGCCTTCGACCTCAAGAGGATCGGGGCCTACTGTCACGTGCTCAACGACAAGCTGCGTATGATCTGCTGGGTGCTGCGAACAGAGGATGAGGGAGTTTGCTGTGCAGGCGATCGCGAATTGACCTTCGAGCTCAAGTTTGTGAAGACCTTCGAAGGCTCGTTCCATGTCGTCTTGATCAAACTGCACGTGGAGTCGGTTGCCTTCCGATCGAACATCGTCCCAGTCAGCTCGGTGACGGGCAGGGACAACGTTCACTGGATGAAGGTGCGGCGAGCAGGAGGAGGACGTTCTCGTCACAAAGGTGTGCAGGTGCAGGAGAACGAGAACAACATCACTGTGGTAGCAACAGATCGGTACCCAACCGTGTCGCTTCTTCTCTCCATCTCGTTGACGGCAAGAGCAGATGCGCCCCCAGGCATGACGTGGGGCCCGGCGAAGTTTTCCGGTACGGGCTCGGCGTCTCAACTTTGGCTTCCAGCCGCATCGTCAAGGCCAAGCAGAAACCCGCGGACGAAGCGCAAACAACTCCAGCGCAGGCCATGGAAGAGGAGGCGCAGCATCTGACGGCTGAGGAGCTGAAAGCCAAGGCTGTATCCAAGGGGATGCGAGTCAATCAAAAGGGAATCAACTTCAGCTTGCAACTCAATCCTCCTGAGGGCTGGTGTGTCTGTAACCGGGTAAGAACAAGATTTTCGATCACGGCGCTTCGTGAGTCCATGGATGTGTAGGAGATGGTTGAGATGGATGTTGGGCACGACAACGTGAAGAGGTATGCTCAATTCATCTTTTTTGAGGCCAAGAAATATCCCCAATGCCTTGGTGAGAACAATCTGACTCTAATGCTGGTGGAAAATGCCCTGATTTTATCTTGCAGTATGTAAGAGACCTGTAAGAGAATGAAGCTGTCACCTGCAACTCACTCCATTCTGAGAATGATCTCGTCCAGTTGCTTCAACGCTTTTGGATTGACAGATTCAACAAAGCACAAAAGTGCATTCTTCACGTCTCTGTTCCGACAAAATCCCTCGATAATCCGCTGAATTATTTCCTCCGAAGAATGAGCCATATCTTTCACGAGCTGTTGCGCACTCACTGGATCCCCAGCCTTGATATGGGCACTGCACAATGCCTCTATACAAGAATCTACTGTCATGACATCCCTTCGGTCAATGCTCTCCAATATGCATGTCGCTTGTTCTATTTCTCCATTGTATGCATAGACACAACATAGGGCACGCTTCATCTTCACACTCTGATCCATTCCGTTTTGACTTGCCTCGTTAAGGACACGTACAGTTGTTTCCACGTCCTGATTATGTTTGTTATTATTCAGCGCGCAAATCGATGGGAAATACAAACCCTCAGTACACAAGCAGCACTTTCAACGACGATTTCATATATTTTGATGGAAGGTTCATAAATCGTTGTTTTGAGCTCCTCGTAACATCGCATGATTTCTTCTGCGGCTGAGACTGAACAAGGTATGCATGAAAATGCTTCGATCGCAAAGGTGAAAATCTGCAAAACACTTCAGAATGAATTGTACAGGACAATCGGAAAAGGTTTTTGACCTGATAATGCAAACCTTGAGTGGATACAACACAATCAATCAAGATTCGAATGTTTTCACAAGCAATTCGCTTCTCAATCTGCTCAGCATGATCCATTTCACATGGTCGAACACTGCACTCCTTCATCAGGTTGCAGACAATTGCATTCACAGCAGCCTTGAAACTTTCAAACGTGATAGAAATGTTGTGTTCCTCGATGAAGTCCATTGCCATAGAAATTTTTCCAGCTCCGCATAGGTGCAAAACTAAGGGTTCACTTATATTCATAGCAAGTTCATTTCCGAAGTGTTTCTTCAAATCCATCCATAATTCACATGAATGTTCAAGCCTACGAATCATGTCATTCACAATGCATTCAATGCGTAACAAAGCATTTGATACCTTCCATTTTTAATGCTCCTTCCAATCAGAGAAATCAAGTGGTCGGCGTCTGTCTTTGCTTTGCCATCATAAACATCGTCAAGATCAACATGTACAAAATCCCCGGGTTGCTCATTCTTTTTGAATTCAAGAGAGACAAGCTCTCTTATCCGCGGATCAACTGATCTGCCACTCGTTTCCAAATCTGATATCGACTCTCTGCAGAATGTAAAATTCCTACATTTCAGAGCCGCTGCTAAGCTCAATTCTTGAACTTCAGGGGATAATTGCATGCCATTCTGAAGACAGACATTGAGAATTCGCTTCCAATGGTTCATATCTATGCATTTTTTGCATTCAAGAATCAGTTTCAGTATCAAAATGAGCTCTTCCTCAAGGAATCTGTGAATAGCATACTTACAAACATGAAGCCTTGAAAACAATTAGTACCTTCCAGACTTGCAACCTAGGTCAATTCTTTGAAGAGCAAAATGCACGGTGAACGGATCCATGGAAGCCGCACTAATTACCCGTAATTCTGCTTCAATCTCGATTTGTACGCCCTTCTCTCCCATTATTCTGACCACTTCAAGGGCATGTGAAATCTCCAATGCATTTGAATAAGCAACAATAGCGGATGACCACACATCCGATGTATCAAAAGCAATTTCGTCGGCACCACAGTATAACAAATCAGGATATGGCAGCGGTGAATTGCAAATCATAGCACAACAGTAGAAATATGCCTGACATTGACATTACAAAAGATTAGAAGAAGAATAAAACCTTAAAGGAAAGTTTCCGTCGTGAATAATTACTAGCTTCCAAAGAATATATGGACCCCTTGCTCCTCAATAGTTTCATGAACAATTGAAGACCTGTATTCTTATCATTTCGACATACCTTCTTCATAGCAATATACCTTCTTCATATAAGTGATTGTTCACTGCTCCAATAAATGTATCAAGAGGAATTTCGATTGGGATCCGTATTCCATCACTCGCTTGACGAGCCTCAATGCAAACATCAACTATTCTTTTCATTTCCAGTATCATGGACGTCAAGAATCTGGTACAGTTTCCATTCAAGCAGATGAACTGTACAATTTCAAATATCTTTTGCGATGGAACAACTCCTGTTTCAAGAATTGCTTGAAAAAGTTTGAAAACTTCCATGTAGTTCTTTTGGCTTGCACACAATTCCATCACCCTGAAACAACAGTTTTACAGGAACTCATGTAAAGTGAATATTTTGATCTATTGCTTGATTACTTACATCTCGTAAGATGAAGATCCTTGTAGAACCTGTCTCCCACACTGTGCTGAATCCTGACGCATGAGGTCTGTGGAATAGATTTCAAAGACAAAACTGCAAAACAACTAAGATCTTCACCCTGATCAAATGGCGTAATTGAAGAATGGTCAACTATTCCTCCATTATGATACAAACCTACAACGATGAAAAAAGGAAAACATCAAAATACCAACAGGAAGACAGCACAATCAACCTTCCTCACTACAAGATGTTGATAGAAAATCATTCGATACCGAACAGTACAAATCCAATCCAGCATCACCTAAGCTTGAAACGGGCTGGTCCGCTACAAGTGCCATCGAGACATCTGACGGCTGCTTCTGCTCGCCTCCCTCGACCTTGCCCTGCTCGTCCACGCTTGGCAGTACCGCGCCGGCTTGGACCTCATCTGCAGAGGCCTCGACAGAAACTGTCCCGGGCTGGTCCGCTACAAGTGCCATCGAGACATCCGACGGCTGCTTCTGATCGCCTCCCTCGACCTTGCCCTGCTCGTCCACGCTTGGCAGTACCGCGCCGGCTTGGACCTCATCTGCAGAGGCCTCGACAGAAACTGTCCCGGGCTGGTCCGCTACAAGTGCCATCGAGACATCCGACGGCTGCTTCTGCCTGCGTTCTTCCAGTTGGTTGAAGTTAGTATATTTTTCGTTTGATCTAAATCTTGATTGCTTGTTTTTTCAGTTTGGCCAGTATTCCTTTCAATTACAGGAGATGTACGATTGTATTTGTTTAAGATTGGACTATTGAGTTTCTTCAGATGGCTCTGGGATGGTTGCTTCAGGATTGGTGATTTGTTGGCATCTGAGTGCTTTTTTCGGCTTGTGAAAAGTTGCTCGGTTACATCAACAGTAGGCTTTCGTTTTGTAGAGCTATTCGAGAGACTCATCTTGGGCATGTTGACAGCATTTTGTTGATGTTTCTCTAAAACAATTGGACTGGAAAAATGCCCGTCAAAAGGAGAAAAAGCCGTTACTCGTGTCGATTTGGCATTCAAACCAAGGGTGAGAGGAGTAGGTTCAACTAGCGGTTCAACTCCTGGAAAATTGCCTCTCATTGCAAAATTTTCTTGTAAATCCAATTTTTCAAACTGAAAGAAAGGCATTCTGCTTGAAATGCTGAAGTTATGCGAATTGCATTTGTCTGCAATCTTTTCCTGAAGTGAAGAACCTGATTGTTGGCAACTCCTATCCTCAATGCGTGCAGCACCCTTGCTATCCACTCTGGAAGTGAGGAAAGAGTTTCTCAGATCGGAGAGAGATTGTAACAATCCTGTTGAGTGCGGCATCCTCTCTGGATTTGGAGGAGCTCTGGACGAAGCAGCATTCTGGTGATTACCGTCCTGCATCCCCCCTCGCTTTTCCCGCCACGAATGGGCCACAAACTTTCAGGCCCTTTTCTCGATCGATGGGCGTGTAAAAAACTCCGAGGCTCAGTGAAAGCCTGGGCCGCCGGCAGCCCGGGGGCCCGGCCGCCGGACGGGCCGCCGCTCCGAGGCACAATTTGCTCCCTTCGCTCAGCTGTTTTACTCAAAGATCAGTACGAGGACAATCAGGAGAGTCGAGGAGGCTTGACCCTGACACTGTCGCACAGGCCCTTGAAACGGCGAGAAGGCTCCGAGTCTCCGCCGCCCGGAAAAGACAGCCGCAGAGCGAGAACCAAACCCCGTCCTGGCAACTCGGCTGTCCCCCAAACTTAACTGATACCTTCCGACTTAACTGCGCGGCGCCGCAGAACTTGCCAGAACGGAAGACCATCGAGTCCGGGGCCCCCGCGCCATTTCCATCTGATCGGATCACGGCGGATGGCAGCGAAGGACTGAGGGAGCCGGGCTTGAGACATCTTGCGAGGCCGAGCCTGAGGACTCCAGACGTCTTGCGAGGCCGAGAGGCCATCCTCTGAGCGCTGCCGCCGGAAGTTTGATGGAACGTATGCCAGCCGTGCCAGTCAGATAGCGCCGAGTCAACCGTTGAAAAACTCTCCTGTAAACCAAGACGCCGGACTGACGTGTCAAGGCGGCCCATGTAGCGTGTGGGATGAACTTCGGAGGGGGCTTTCCTAGCCGTCTTGCTAAGGTCCTCTCATGTCTGGATGCTTGAATTTCACATGTGCTCCTCAATTCTGGTTTTGTGTGCATTAAATTCGGTCTTGAGCAAAAACTGTCTTGTTACAACTGAGGTCGATGTGATATCTGCGTGACTTTGGCATAGTACAACTGAGTCTAACAAACTTGTGCTCCGTCGCCGTTTCCTTGGCAAGCCTTCGCCAAGCGATCCGCCAGCCACCACAGAAAGCGCAACCGCCGCATCATCCTGCAAGAGTCAATCAGTGCTGGCGATGATGGGAAAAAAGGCCGCTTTGGCGGGACGTGCTGAGCATGTTATCAGTATGCATTACTCGGATGCCCTCGGATCTTCCGACTGAGTTCCGCTCCGGCGAGTGATCACGGCTGCTGCCAGCGGCTTGCGGGCCTGGCACTCTCGGAGTGCTCCGGACGGTCGGAGGCCGAGCGAGGCCCGGTATTAATATTCAATATCATTCAAGTTGTGACATGCTGAAGTCCAGGATTCAATGATTAATTGAACCCACTGGGCCATGCCAACCGCCTCCTGGACTCCAGTCACGTTAGCCAGGCCGGGCTGCAGTTGCGGCCGCGCCGGAAGTTGAACTTGTTCGAAGTCCCCTACATGATGATCAGCCTTTCAAGTTAGGGCCACTGGGCCATGCCAAGTTGGGAAACGGTTCAGAAGTCCCGGCGTCACGAAGGCTGCCTGGCCGCCAGTAGCCCGGACGGTGCCGGGTCAGTACTAGTGACGCCTTGCAGCTGAGCAGTGCCGGGGCCTGTCACCGGGCCGGGCTTTGAGTAAAGGCCAGGCGGCACTGAGTGCGGCCACAGCGGTTGCCAGACGGTTTCACAAGGCCGGGTACCCCCCACCCCCCAACCCCGAGTGTGGCGGAAGAAATCCCTAGAAGTACCCCACCTATCCCCTTCGGAGAATCACTGTACCCCACCCCCTCTGTGCCCCCTTGTGGCGACCCTTTTCCTAGCAGTCACCTACCCCTCCCATCAGTCAACATCCACTCTGTGAGATGTCCATTCGAGCCCCTGGGGTGGGTGAAGTACCCCCTAGTTATACATGCGAGCCTTCTGTATTTCCACTGGAAAGTACCCACCCTGTCTCATAACTCTTTGATACCACCCCCTATCTCTGGTGCTGGGAATAAACCAAGAACTGGAGGTATGGCGGCTGAAGGAGGAGGGGGAAGACGAGAGGAAGGGTGATGGAGACGTAAGAGAGAGAGAGAGGTCAAAGATTTGAATGAGGATGAAACAAGCTTTATGAATGCCGCAAGATGTTATGAAATAGTTAGTTTGCCGTTCCAGACTTCAACCGTAATGCCGAGATTTGAATTCGGTTCGGCTTGCATCAAGGAGCAGATTGGCTAGTTTGGTAAATGACGAGTTGGGCTTCCATTTTGCATGGATGGTGGGCAACTCGGTAGAAGTAATTCTTACAGATCTATCTGAAGCATCAGTTTCAAATACCTTATGCATGCTGTTTTGGTGTGGAGAGAGTTGTCAGCGCTCAAAGTGTTCACTTGATAAATTTGTTTGTTTGTTTGTTTGTTTGTTAGATGAATGGTAGCTAGATTGGTTAGAATAAATTAGTCAGTCAGCTAGTTTGATACGTCAACATTTCAAATCTGGGTGAGCACTAACCTCTGATTCAGATAAATGGAGCCTGTCAACATGCGACTCAACAACTTTCTGTCCAGTCCAGAATCATCGCTCGTTAAGGAATCGTTCGCAGAAAAATATCCACAAAAGGTGCAGCGTGCAGAGCATAGCACGACAGAAGTATCAAGCTGTAATACCGATTCATCTGAAGAAGCAAAGACGAATAGGAGTCGATATGCTTCTACCGATGTGATTGATCTGACCATGCAGGAGAACTCCTGGGAAAACTACCCTGGGATCCCGCACAGGCCGAATAAAAGCAAACGAAATGCGCGGAAAACCCACGCCAACTTGCAGAGGTCTCCCAGCAGCAAACAGGGATTAATATTGGTGGATGATGTAAGCACGGATGAAGATGACACTTTTGTTTCAAGAACGTACAAAGAGCCTAGGATATACCTAAACGATGCGAACTCTACTTCACGACGTATTTCTCGACCTGAGACATCTGCCACTGAAGACGACGTTAAGATAGTGCAAGAAACTTCTCTACAAAGTTCCAAGAGAGAACGGCAACAAGATACACGGCGTCGCAGTTCTACGAGCGAGTCTGTCGACAACAATATGACAGACCGGCTGCGTATTTCATCCACCGTTTCCAGAACTTTCACTTGTCCCATTTGTCTTGATGACATCCCTCGAGGAGATCAGGTAATTGAGCTATCTCAATCCATCTTGCCCCTCATTCATTTCTTCCATACAGGTGTGTTATTTTCGCTGCGGTCATCGCTTCTGCTTTGATTGCGCCACCAACTACGTCACTGTCAAAGTGAAGGAAGGGCAAGTTGCTCAACAAAGCCTTGTGTGTCCCCAAGATGGATGTGCAGCCCCTCTGACTGTACAGGTGGGTCATTCCCTTCTTTATGGAGTATGTTGTTGTTGTGACACCTTTGCCTAGGAAATTCGTGGATGTTTGAGTGAAAATGCAGAGTGCATGGAAAAGTTTGAAAATTTCTCCTTGAAGCTGTTCTTGGAACGGAGTCCCAACACTTTATTTTTCTGCCCAACACCAGCTTGTAGCAATGTCATCGAGACTGGAACTCTTAATGAGAAGGAAAAGTACATTTGCCCTGCTTGTCGGCGCTCATACTGCCTCAAATGTAAGGCGAAGTGGCATCAGACTACTTCTTGTGAGGACAATGCGATGCTGAATTCAGGTTCAAAAGAGGACAGAAAGTTCCTTGGCCTTGTTAGCAGAAAGGGAATGAAAAAGTGCCCATCTTGTAACTTTTGGGTTGAGAAATCAGAAGGATGCAACGCAATGCGCTGCCGATGTGGAACAACGTTCTGCTGGCGTTGTGGAGATGACGTCAACAAAGATTCTGGTTGCCGTTGCATGCGGGATATTGAAAAGTTATCAGCTAGAGATCGTATGGATGTTCTACAGGTTAACAGTCATGCTACGAATAGAAGCAATCCAGCACACGACAGGCTGCAACAGAGACTTCGCAATGACAATCTGCTTCCGGGTATTTTCGGTCAACTTGGCGGCTTGCTCCAATTCAGACCCTTCTGACGAGATGAAGTTGTTTGTTTCTAGCTTGTGGTTTATGCATTGCACACGGTAAGGCTGGAAAGTTCAAATCGACTTGCACAACCTGCGAAAATTGGCTATTGAGGCTCAGCTTGCACAAGATTTCATCAACTTCCTCATCAAGGTGTCTGCTTTTCGACGTCATTCTTCTAGATGAGACGCACAGCAAAAATACTCAGTGGCGCTTGACGCTTCTGAAGTGTATGCAAGACGCTGGCCGCTGAGCCACAACAGTGCCGTCCTGTAAACCAAGACGCCGGACTGACGTGTCAAGGCGGCCCATGTAGCGTGTGGGATGAACTTCGGAGGGGGCTTTCCTAGCCGTCTTGCTAAGGTCCTCTCATGTCTGGATGCTTGAATTTCACATGTGCTCCTCAATTCTGGTTTTGTGTGCATTAAATTCGGTCTTGAGCAAAAACTGTCTTGTTACAACTGAGGTCGATGTGATATCTGCGTGACTTTGGCATAGTACAACTGAGTCTAACAAACTTGTGCTCCGTCGCCGTTTCCTTGGCAAGCCTTCGCCAAGCGATCCGCCAGCCACCACAGAAAGCGCAACCGCCGCATCATCCTGCAAGAGTCAATCAGTGCTGGCGATGATGGGAAAAAAGGCCGCTTTGGCGGGACGTGCTGAGCATGTTATCAGTATGCATTACTCGGATGCCCTCGGATCTTCCGACTGAGTTCCGCTCCGGCGAGTGATCACGGCTGCTGCCAGCGGCTTGCGGGCCTGGCACTCTCGGAGTGCTCCGGACGGTCGGAGGCCGAGCGAGGCCCGGTATTAATATTCAATATCATTCAAGTTGTGACATGCTGAAGTCCAGGATTCAATGATTAATTGAACCCACTGGGCCATGCCAACCGCCTCCTGGACTCCAGTCACGTTAGCCAGGCCGGGCTGCAGTTGCGGCCGCGCCGGAAGTTGAACTTGTTCGAAGTCCCCTACATGATGATCAGCCTTTCAAGTTAGGGCCACTGGGCCATGCCAAGTTGGGAAACGGTTCAGAAGTCCCGGCGTCACGAAGGCTGCCTGGCCGCCAGTAGCCCGGACGGTGCCGGGTCAGTACTAGTGACGCCTTGCAGCTGAGCAGTGCCGGGGCCTGTCACCGGGCCGGGCTTTGAGTAAAGGCCAGGCGGCACTGAGTGCGGCCACAGCGGTTGCCAGACGGTTTCACAAGGCCGGGTACCCCCCACCCCCCAACCCCGAGTGTGGCGGAAGAAATCCCTAGAAGTACCCCACCTATCCCCTTCGGAGAATCACTGTACCCCACCCCCTCTGTGCCCCCTTGTGGCGACCCTTTTCCTAGCAGTCACCTACCCCTCCCATCAGTCAACATCCACTCTGTGAGATGTCCATTCGAGCCCCTGGGGTGGGTGAAGTACCCCCTAGTTATACATGCGAGCCTTCTGTATTTCCACTGGAAAGTACCCACCCTGTCTCATAACTCTTTGATACCACCCCCTATCTCTGGTGCTGGGAATAAACCAAGAACTGGAGGTATGGCGGCTGAAGGAGGAGGGGGAAGACGAGAGGAAGGGTGATGGAGACGTAAGAGAGAGAGAGAGGTCAAAGATTTGAATGAGGATGAAACAAGCTTTATGAATGCCGCAAGATGTTATGAAATAGTTAGTTTGCCGTTCCAGACTTCAACCGTAATGCCGAGATTTGAATTCGGTTCGGCTTGCATCAAGGAGCAGATTGGCTAGTTTGGTAAATGACGAGTTGGGCTTCCATTTTGCATGGATGGTGGGCAACTCGGTAGAAGTAATTCTTACAGATCTATCTGAAGCATCAGTTTCAAATACCTTATGCATGCTGTTTTGGTGTGGAGAGAGTTGTCAGCGCTCAAAGTGTTCACTTGATAAATTTGTTTGTTTGTTTGTTTGTTTGTTAGATGAATGGTAGCTAGATTGGTTAGAATAAATTAGTCAGTCAGCTAGTTTGATACGTCAACATTTCAAATCTGGGTGAGCACTAACCTCTGATTCAGATAAATGGAGCCTGTCAACATGCGACTCAACAACTTTCTGTCCAGTCCAGAATCATCGCTCGTTAAGGAATCGTTCGCAGAAAAATATCCACAAAAGGTGCAGCGTGCAGAGCATAGCACGACAGAAGTATCAAGCTGTAATACCGATTCATCTGAAGAAGCAAAGACGAATAGGAGTCGATATGCTTCTACCGATGTGATTGATCTGACCATGCAGGAGAACTCCTGGGAAAACTACCCTGGGATCCCGCACAGGCCGAATAAAAGCAAACGAAATGCGCGGAAAACCCACGCCAACTTGCAGAGGTCTCCCAGCAGCAAACAGGGATTAATATTGGTGGATGATGTAAGCACGGATGAAGATGACACTTTTGTTTCAAGAACGTACAAAGAGCCTAGGATATACCTAAACGATGCGAACTCTACTTCACGACGTATTTCTCGACCTGAGACATCTGCCACTGAAGACGACGTTAAGATAGTGCAAGAAACTTCTCTACAAAGTTCCAAGAGAGAACGGCAACAAGATACACGGCGTCGCAGTTCTACGAGCGAGTCTGTCGACAACAATATGACAGACCGGCTGCGTATTTCATCCACCGTTTCCAGAACTTTCACTTGTCCCATTTGTCTTGATGACATCCCTCGAGGAGATCAGGTAATTGAGCTATCTCAATCCATCTTGCCCCTCATTCATTTCTTCCATACAGGTGTGTTATTTTCGCTGCGGTCATCGCTTCTGCTTTGATTGCGCCACCAACTACGTCACTGTCAAAGTGAAGGAAGGGCAAGTTGCTCAACAAAGCCTTGTGTGTCCCCAAGATGGATGTGCAGCCCCTCTGACTGTACAGGTGGGTCATTCCCTTCTTTATGGAGTATGTTGTTGTTGTGACACCTTTGCCTAGGAAATTCGTGGATGTTTGAGTGAAAATGCAGAGTGCATGGAAAAGTTTGAAAATTTCTCCTTGAAGCTGTTCTTGGAACGGAGTCCCAACACTTTATTTTTCTGCCCAACACCAGCTTGTAGCAATGTCATCGAGACTGGAACTCTTAATGAGAAGGAAAAGTACATTTGCCCTGCTTGTCGGCGCTCATACTGCCTCAAATGTAAGGCGAAGTGGCATCAGACTACTTCTTGTGAGGACAATGCGATGCTGAATTCAGGTTCAAAAGAGGACAGAAAGTTCCTTGGCCTTGTTAGCAGAAAGGGAATGAAAAAGTGCCCATCTTGTAACTTTTGGGTTGAGAAATCAGAAGGATGCAACGCAATGCGCTGCCGATGTGGAACAACGTTCTGCTGGCGTTGTGGAGATGACGTCAACAAAGATTCTGGTTGCCGTTGCATGCGGGATATTGAAAAGTTATCAGCTAGAGATCGTATGGATGTTCTACAGGTTAACAGTCATGCTACGAATAGAAGCAATCCAGCACACGACAGGCTGCAACAGAGACTTCGCAATGACAATCTGCTTCCGGGTATTTTCGGTCAACTTGGCGGCTTGCTCCAATTCAGACCCTTCTGACGAGATGAAGTTGTTTGTTTCTAGCTTGTGGTTTATGCATTGCACACGGTAAGGCTGGAAAGTTCAAATCGACTTGCACAACCTGCGAAAATTGGCTATTGAGGCTCAGCTTGCACAAGATTTCATCAACTTCCTCATCAAGGTGTCTGCTTTTCGACGTCATTCTTCTAGATGAGACGCACAGCAAAAATACTCAGTGGCGCTTGACGCTTCTGAAGTGTATGCAAGACGCTGGCCGCTGAGCCACAACAGTGCCGGGTATCTTTAAAGGACTGAACTTGTTGAAATCGGCAGGAACGATCAGTTTCATGATTTCCGGCTTCGACTTGAATCTAAGTTTGAACATGATGGATCACATGCCAGCCGTGCCGGTCAGATAGCGCCGAGTTAACAAAACTCTCCTGTAAACCAAGAAGACCCATACGTGTTGTGAAGCGGCAATGTAGCACGTCAGACGAAGAGGAGGCCTTCCTAGCCGTCTTGCTAAGGTCCTCTCATGTCACTGGATGCTTGGGTTTCACATCCGAGGCTAGTACACAGTCACAATGATGTGCATTGAACTCGGTCTTGAGCAAAAACTGTCTTGTTGCAGCTGAGGTCGATATGATATCTGCATTACTTGGGCATGGTACAAGTCTAACAAACTTGTAAACCGTCAGAACACGTTCCTGGTCGCCGGCCGGTTCAAGCCTGCGGTCACCCGTATGTCATTAGCCCCACCGCGAATCATTAAACTTACCGTCGAACGGAACGGTTAGTGCGCCCAGTGGGCACTGCAGTTGTATGGTCCGTGAGTGACTGAGATCGGCGATCCTGACTCAGATGCCCGGCAGGGCTCACAGCCCGGCTGGACACTCGCCCGCAACCGGGTCCGGCTCGCGGCCCGCCGGCCGCCGCCCCTGGTTGAACTTCGGGCTGGCCGGGCCGCGTGAACGGTTTGTAACGTCGTGTAACGTATTCTGTTCTTTTTAGAACAGCACGCCACGTGCCTGCCGCTCCGCGTCACTTGCCTTCCTCTTCCTCCTTCCTCTTCCTCCTCTTCCTCCTCCTCCTCCTCTTCCGCCTGCTCTCCTGCAGCTACCATCTTGCTGTCTTCCTGAATCCCCCCCCCTCCTTCCCCTTGCGCAACTTCATCCTCTCGTCCCAGCATCCTGCAGACTCGCGTGTGACTTCACCGTCCCTTGCGTCCCGTCTTTCCGATTTCCCGCCCTGCTGTGAAATTGAGCAGGAGGTGGTGTATACTGATCTACGCTTTCTATTCGGTGAAGAATGCTTCTGCTGCTGCCTTAGAAACACTTTTGAGCTGAAGATTTTCTTTGCAGATTAAGTGGAAGTGGAGAAAATGTCAGATACCGCAGCAGCTACCTCGGCCGAACAAAATGCTGAGGTGCATACGACTCAGTTACCCTAGCTTGCTGGTTTTGAACCACCCTTATCTTCAGGTACCTAAGGAGGCAGCATCGAATGATACCACTGGCCATCCTTTAGAGACAGGATGGACATTTTGGTTTGACAAGAAGATTGAGAACAAATCTCACGCCGTCATGAAAGCATCTACGTATTTTGACCATCTGAAAAATCTGGGGAGCTTTCGCACTATCGAAGAGTTTTGGGACTTGTACTCTCAGTTGAGCCGTCCATATGACATGCATCAATCGACTACTTATCATGGTTCGCACGCGCTTCGCTGTGGCATGACGTGTTTTGACTGTGGAACAGTGTTTCGGGAAGGCTACATGCCAATGTGGGAAACTTTCCCGCATGGGGGAGCTTGGATTATTAGATTTAAGAAGCAGAACCACCACCCGAGCCCAAACCTCTCCAAATGCTGGGAGGAGTTGGTGTTGGCGTGTGTAGGCGAAGCTTTTGCGGAGCCAGATGTGAGTAGATGACGGTGTTGTCTCGGGTGCAGCTCACCTGTTGTTTCTCCCAGCTTGTTGGCGTCATGGTCAGTGTGAAACCAAAGGAGGATATTATTCAAATCTGGAACAAAGACAATGAGGACAACGAATCCGTGAAGGATGAGCTCGGGTGAGCATGAAAGCATGTTTCTTCAGTCGCTTGCTATTGCAATGATGAGACGTTTCCTTCTGGACTTGATAAGTGGCAGCAAAAATATCTGATTTAATGAGCCTGAGCATGCTTCAACCCCTTCTAAAATTGACTTGTGCTTGAACGAGCCTTGACTAGTGAGCAGGGAGAAGTTGAAGTCGATCATGACCCACCTGGATGGAACGACGATTGAGTACAAGGATCATGCGTCTTCGATGAAGGACAAGACTCACCGCAGCACCAAGCCCTGGCTGGCGGCTATCAGGTGAAGCAGCGCTGGTGTGAGTGGGAGGTGGACTGCTCTGACTGTGTCCACAGCCACAACGGGAAGCCTCACGGTCATGGGCACGGGCATGGTCACGGTCACGGTCACGGTCACCACGGGAAGCATCACAAGAACGAAGATGAGAAGCATGCCGAGAAGGGAGAGCATGATGAGAACACGTCGGGAGAAGAGAAGAAGTCGAGCGACTAAAGGGAGGGAGGTTTCCCCTGTTGGAGCTGAGATGGAGGAGGGAGGAGGAGCATGGCGTCTTTTTTACATTTTGAATATTGTTTCAATCAAGCTTTTCATTTCTCTTCTGCTCAGATAGTTGGCGAGCGGAGATCCTTCTCGTTAAGTGTTGGATGTGCATGGGACGTGACGCGTCTGAAGATGATGTCATCCGATGGCAGGGACGCTGGGTGAAGCGGCTCATTGCAGATTGATAAAGGGAAATGAAACAACCCGTTGTCCTCTCCTCCTCTCCTCCTCTTAAAGTTTTATCTCCATCTCCTTCCTCCGCGCACTCCTGTCGCCTTTCTCTTGCCCTCTAGGATCTGTTTCAATCTTCCTCGTCCTGCCACTCTACCAATGTCTTGTCAACCTTCGCACCACCTGCTCCTCCTCGTTTCATTCACTTGCATCCTTCCCACAAACTTGTTCGTCTCCGCCTCATATCCTATTGTCCATTCGTTTCCCTCCCTCCCCTCCCTCCCTCCCCTCCCTCCTCTCCCCTCCCCCCTATCCACCTCCCCCTCAGCTCTCCCCCTACAGCACTCATCTCTAGAACTTCCTGGCATCTTGCCTCCACGCCATCTCCTCCTCTGCTTCCTCCCCTTCTCTCGTTTCCCATTCCGTCATCCGATCGCAATCTTTTCCTTTGTTCCGTCAACCACTGACATCGCTTACTTCCCTTCTCTCCTTGTTGCATTCACATCCTCTTCCTCTCGCCTCCCATGGCGAAGAGGGCGGGCAACAAGAGGGCGGCACCAAGACGATGGCGAGTGTTCTTGTGCATGATGACTCTTGTTATCCTCTACATGGTGACAGCGCTGACGATGATGTGGAGGAGGATGGGCCAGCACAAAGCAGGGAGGAGGAGGGAGACGAGGCAGCTGGCAGCCAACACTTCGCAAGCCATGCTGCTGCACGCCGTAGCTCGTGAAGCGAAGCTGAAGCAGGTCAAGCTCTCTGCTGCTCGCGCCCGTTCCTTGGATCCGATCGGATCCACTGGGCAGCATGGCGTCTCAGCCTATCGCAACCGGTCGGCGGAAGCAGAGGCGATGCTGGAAGCAGCCAAGGACCAGGGACTAGATCGGTTCTTGCAGCAGAAGGCATGCGGGGCGACGGGGCTTCACGTGTTCTACTACGCCTGGTACGCCAACAGAGACAATGACGATCATTGGAGCCACTGGAACCACAAGGTGAGGAGACATACATCATGCTGCTCCTCTCACACATACATCATGCTGCTCCTCTCACACATACATCATGCTGCTCCTCTCACACATACATCATGCTGTTCCTCTCACACATACATCATGCTGCTCCTCTCACACATACATCCTGCTGCTCATTCTTCCCCCCCTCCCTTTTCATGTTGGAGTCTGTGACTGCTAGCATGTGCGATCCTCTTCCTCTTTCCGCTGCCAGGTCCTCCCGCACTGGACAGCAGCCGTCAACGAAAGGTTCAAGGATCGCATAGGACAGGAGCATGCTCCTCCTCTGGATATCGGCTCCAACTTCTTCCCTTCCCTGGGGGCCTACAGCTCCAAGGACCCAGCAGTAGTCGAGCTGCACGTGGAGGTTGCAAGACCCCTCCTGTCTTCAGGAGGACTTGGGGGTGACGGGGGGTGCAGATGATGGCCAAGTCAGGGATGGGCGTGCTGGTGTACAGCTGGTGGGGGAGAGGGAAGGTGACAGGGATGTTCCTTCCCAGCTGGTGCTGACGAAGCGCCTGGCAGGCAGATGCCAACGGGGATCCCACAGACGAGCGCCTGATCGAGCTCGTGATGAACAAGTGCGAGGAGCGACGGGTTGATCCCCTCCTGCTCCTGCTCCTGCTCCTGCTCCTGCTCCTGCTCCTGCTCCTGCTCCTGCTCCTGCTCCTGCTCCTATTCCTGCTGCTCCTGCTGCTCCTTCTCCTGCCTCTCCTGCTCCTACTGCTCCTCCTGCCACTGCTCCTGCTCCCGCCATTGCTGCTGCTGCTGCTACGACTGCTGCTGCGCACCCTCCTCCTCCTCCTCCTCCTCCTCCTCATCCTCATCCTCATCCCCATCCTCTTGCGGGTCCCTGGCGCTGACGTCAGACCAGGTCAAGTTCGCCTTCCACCTCGAGCCCTACGAGGGCAGGACAGCCCGCTCGGTGCGTCGGCGACACGGAGGCAGCCCAGCTGACCGCCAGCTGGCAGGTCGGGGAGGACGTGGCCTACATCCTGCGGAGGTTCGGGTCCCACCCAGCGCTCTACCGCAACCCCTCGAGGTGAGGAGGAGGAGGAGGAGGAGGAGGAGGAGGAGGAGGAGGAGGAGGAGGAGGAAGCGAATGACACGCTGGAGCTCAGAGGGAACAGAGTGATGATCTACCTCTACGACAGGTCTCCTCCTGCTCCTCCTGCTCCTTCTCCTCCTCCTCCTCCTCCTCACCTCCTCTTCCCCTTCTCTTCCATCCTGTCCTCTCTTTTCCTCCCTCTCATCTGTCTTTTCTCTTCCCTCCAGCCAAGTATTTCCTTCGTTTCCTCGTGTCTTCTCCCTCGTCTCCTCCTCCTCCTCCGCTCTCTTGCATCTATGTGACTTCCTTCAGCTATCGCATCCCAGCAAAGGAGTGGGCGCAGGTTTTCACGTCGTCAGGCTCCTTCACCGTCAGGGGAACGAGCAACGACTGTGTCGTCTTGGGCCTGTGGGTGGAGCCAGCACACGGGGAGGAGGTGAAGAGCAGCGGCTTTGACGGCTTCTACACTTACTTCGCAACTGATGGATTTTCGTTCGGTATCTTCTTGTTCCTGCCCCTGCTCCTGCCCCTGCTCCTGCCCCTGCTCCTGCTCCTGCCCCTGCTCCTGCCCCTGCTCCT